AGGAGGAGGAGGAGGAGGAGGAGGAGGAGGAGGAGGAGGACGAGCCGGACCAGGAGATCATGTACCCGACAGGCTTAACGCCGTGCCGCCGACCTTCAAGGAGAGGGATGACGTCCATGGGTTGGGCCTTCTGGGGCCTCTTGGGGGGCCCTCCGGGGGCCTCTTCGGGCCTCCTGGGAGCGTCTTGGGCGCCTGCCGTGTGTCTCGGGGGTCCTCCTGGCTGAGGGTTCGGGATGTCAGCTCGAGTTGCCTCGTGGGCCACTCCTTGGGCTCTGTTGGGGCTCTCTTGGGCGCCTTTCGGCCATCTTGGGACCCTCTTCGGCCGTCTTGTGCCCTCTTCGGGGCTTAGTGTGCCGTCTTGGAGCAAAGCAGGTGGCCTCTCGAACCGTCTTGGATGCCGTTACGACAAGCAGTGTGAACGTGCTCAAAGTATACGCTTCGCTCTGGAATTTGGACAATTCTTGCTTCTTGGGTCCCTCTCGGAAGTCGTCTTGGAGCTCCGTTGGGGCGTCTTTGAGGCTTCTTGGGCAGTCTTGATGCCATTTTGGCTGTCTTTGAGGACTCCGCGGCGTGTTGGAGCCCAGTTTGAGGCCAGCTTGGACGGCATCTCGGGCATCCTGGAGGCTACGGAGTGCAGATTTGGAGGCTCCAGAGGCCCGCAGGGTGCGTTGGCGAGCTTGTCCCCGCCCCCTCCCCCCGCCGCCTCCCAGGCCCCCCCCCCCGGCCCCCCCCCCCGGTCTGAGATTCGAGTAGAAAGGGGGGGCCTAGGTCCTAGGCCCCCCCTTCTACTCGAATCTCAGACCCCCTGGGACGGGAGCGTGACCACGATATCTGTTGTGATCGCTATCGCCACCGCGTACGGTGCAGTGCACGCTCTTCGTGGCCGGTCTGCGAGCTAGGGGGCGCTCGACAACATGTGCCCTCTCCTTCGGGGCGCGGCCCACATTCTTGCGTTCTAAAAAAAAGCCTTGCCTCCGAGGGTCGAAGGAGTTGTCATCTCTTCCGCGGCGGGAGGCGGCGGAAGGGCGGCGGAAGGCCGGCGCAAGTACAACGAGGCCGCCTCCGCCGGCGGAAGCCGTCGGAGGGTTTACGGAAGGCGGCGGAAGTAGCCCCCAAGAGATGAGAGCATGTTTTTGGGTGCAGGGTGCCCGAAATCGCTCATGCTGTACTCATCTGTGCGGCTCCCAGGCTGGCATAGACCTCCAGCGTATTGGTAGCGTTGCTTTCTGGCTCTCGCCGCGCTCGTTTTCAAGCCCTTGTTCGGTCTCCCCTCGTCGCCCTGCGGTTGTTTTTCAAGGGCGTTAAGGGCTCGATGCTGACCCACGTCTAAGCCAGCGTACTGACATTGAAAGCGTCAGCGCGGAGGTTGCACGATGCTTTCGGCCTTTGGGACCTCTTGCCACGTTCTGTGGCCGTCAAACAACGATTCGTGATGAAAGCGTGCCCTGCGCCATGGGAAAGGACAATACATCGGATCTCTGGGAGATGGGGGAAGGACCACGCTCCGCAGGGTTGCCGGTATGCCGAGATCCTGGACGCTTCGCCCGAAACGTGCCATGGAGCTGGGTTCACATGGCGCGGCTGGCCATGAAGACAACTTCGTCCAGAGGGTATGGGTTTCAGCGGTTTCGTGCCGCCTTCGTGCCCCCGGGCCGGGGCAGGGCCTCGGGTCCGTCAAAGAACGGCTCATGATGGAACGCTGGTGCTCGTGAGAGCCCTGGGGGCCCCGCGGGCCGCTGCTCTCTCGGGGGCATCTTCCCTCGTGCCCTCTCCGGGACAGCCACGTGGCTACGAAGTTGCGCTCGCAGACACCACCGCGCACAGCACGGTGAGCATTCTTCGGTGTAGGCTTGCGATCGTGACATGTTCAGCACAATATGTGCACGATGTTCCGGGCGAAGGCCCGCTTTCGTGCACACATCAGGTTTCATTTCGACCCGATCGATCCGACTTGGTATCTGCTCTGGCCAGCCCGATTCGAGTCCATTCCGATGCTCGGGCGGTCCGATGCGCCCGGATGCTTGCGATGCGCTGCGATTCTATAGGTTTACGCCACATCCGCCGACCCGTCTATAAACTACAGTGCGTCCAGGGCTGCATTCCACGAGGCTTGTCCGATTCCTGGGAGGTTCTTGGGGGCGTTTGGGGGCTCTGTTCGGGCTCCCTGGGGGCTTCTTGGGGCGTATCGGGGGCTTCTTGAGGCAACCTGGGGGCGTCCTGGGGCCGAAGGCTGGAAATGTGGGTTCGGGTTCCCCCCGTGGGCTCCCTTTTGGCGCCGTCCCGGGGCCCTCTGGGGCCGTCATCAGGGCTTCTTTGGCGGTCTTGGGACCCTTGTGGGCCGTCTTGGAGCTGTCCTAGCGGTCTTTTCGGCCGTCTTGCACGGCATGAAAGCGCAAGAGGCGAATCTGTTTAAAACATAAGTTTCCCAGGGGAATGGGGCACTTTTCACTTCTTCGGTGCCTTTTGGGAGGCCTCTTGGAGGCCTTGGGGCGTTTTGGAGGCATCTTGGGCTGTCTGGATGCCATCTTGGGCGTCTTGGAACGATCATTCAGCGATTCGGGGCCCTCTTGCATTGCATCGTCTTGGGGCCCACTTGGGGCCCTCTTGGCTCGTTTTGGGGCCCTCTGTGCTCCCATGGCGCGTTCGTACGGGGTCAGGGGGGGGTCAAATCTCCGGTTTGGGGTCCTTGGGGGGGTATGGAAGGGAACAATCTCTCACACGCCTAGAGACCCACAAGGGGTCGGCGGATTTGATTTCGACTTTGTCGTGATACGGTCCGATTCGGTTCACGTTCTGATCGGATCCGATTTCTCGGTTCGATGCCCTGCGCATGCGCGGCTCCCACCCGTTTCTCCCCCCTCCCTGTGGCACGCGAGGCGTACGCGCGAGCCCTGGAAGCATCCTGTTCCCCTCCAGCAGCCCAGTCCTGGGAGGGCGAGCGAGCAACCGTAGAGCTCGCACGTGCGAGCCGTGGAAGCATCCTGACTGCATCCCCTACCTCGTGCCACTGCCCTCTTCGGCTCGCGCCTCCAAAAGGGGCGACGGGCGCGCACCGTGAATCCTGAGAGCACGAGCTGCGGGGCGGCCGCTTCCTGGTCACACCGCTCGGGAAGCGACCTACTCCAATGCTCGCCCAGCTAAGTAGATCTGAACTTGCTGTTTCGTCCAGTCCCCATTGAAAGCATCGAGAAGCTTCGGCGCCTCTGGGGACCCCAAGACGTCAGCCGCACGCCTCCACCATCAGCACACACTATTAGTATGCCCTTCTGCGTCCCACAGCAGTCCAGCCCTGGGAGGGCGAACGCGCAAAAAAGTACGGCAGCTTCGCGTCGTGTCGACCGTCGGCGACCCCGCCGCCGGCGTCCAACGTTGAACGCCGCCGACGATCCAGAATCGATCGATGTTGAACGAGTTGACGTTCAGGAAACGACCGATCGCTCAAGGTGGAACGACCCCCGCGGTGTCAGAATCGGGGAACGAAGAATGACGTAAACATACGAACTCGGAGGTCCGCGCGGATCTCTCGGATCCGCGCTGGACCCCTTGGCGCGCGGAGCGCGCCAGGCGCGGCGCCGGAGGCGCCGCTGGGGGGGTCCAGCGCCGAAGTCGGCACCTCCGAGTTCCCATGGTTACGTCATCCTTCAGAGCGTGAATTACCGACCCCGCTTTCGCTTCCAGGCAAAACCAAGTCATACCACACGCCTCCTCGTCAAGCGGCCTGACCAGTACATGCCGTAGTTTGGCATCGCTTGGCATCTCTTGGAAGCGAGGGTGGTCAAAAGCGAGGTAGGTTTGTTTGCCCCCTAGACACCCAGAGGAGCAGCGGATACCAATGCCGCCCCTGAGATACCGGCGTGGCGTTGTTTGCGAGCCCGGTATTTTCGCCCAGTTTCGGACCCAGGGGCTCTCACACATCGGGCTGGCTCTAACAGTTCTCCCCACAGATCGGGCTCGCGAGGTAGGTTTGTTGGCCTCCCCAATTCTTCGCTCCCCCACAACAACCAACGCCGAAGTCGGCACGTGAAGAGCCTGCCGCCTGGCTCCCAATGGGGTGTGCGCACCGCCGGACGTCGGCGGGGCCACGGCGAGCCTCCTGCGCCCAGCAGCCTCCCTCTCGGTGCTGCCCAAAGAGCTCGGCATCGCTCGGACGCGTGCGTGTGTTCTCGGCGGGGACCAGCGGGGAGCATCCTGGATCCTCTGGCGACAGAGGCACGCACGAAGCCGAAAGACGCACGGGGAATGGACGCCCGAGCAACGGCGAGAGAAGGGGTGCCCCTGGTCTCCAAGGTGTCCCCAGGACCACACGGGGAAGGCGCAGCAGACCTCCAGTCGGGCACGTCCCTCTTCTGGAGGAATCTTCAAGAATAGACAGAAAAGAGTCGGAGGACGGTTTGTCAGTATTTTTGTAATCAGTTTTGAATGTGTTTGCTATCTTTAACCCATTTGTAACCATTTGTGTAACCCAATTTTGAATGTGTTTTCTGTATTTTTGTAACCATTTTTGAATGTGTTTTCTATCTTTGGCCCACACTCCGCCGGTAGGAGGACACGCCCGACCTAAGTCTAAGGTGCCCCCAGGATCCCCGAGGAGGCACAGCCGGCCCCCAGAGCACCCCCCACAAGGCCCAGAGGGCCTGGGGGCTCCTGAGCTGCCGCCGCAACTGCTGCTGCCAGTCCTCACTGTGACGGCCCAGCCCAGGGTGTTGATAATTCAGAGATCCGATGTCATAATCTTGCTTTCGACGCTGGGATCCAGGAAGTCCTGTCCATTTCCCTAGGACTGGCTCCCTCTCTCGAGTCTTGGTTCGTGTTTTATTGTCTGGTGGGCAAACTTGTACGATAATTGCCGATAGTTGCGATACATCTGCAGATGATTATGGTCGTATGGTGGTTTCAGCACAGGGAGGTCCTACGACGCTGCACCGCATCCGAGGACCACCTCGCAAACCAGGGCGTCGACATCAAACTCAGCGCGATGGTCAAGGAGGTGGACGAGTCGCACGTGTCCTTGAAGGTGAAGGACGCTGGGTGCCGCTGGCCATGTTTTCGGGAGAACGAGGGAGGGAGGGAGGGAGGGAGGGAGGAGGAGGAGGAGGAGGACGAGGGAGCAGGGGGAGGAGGAGGAGCATGAGGGGGGGAGGTCGAAGAGGAGGAGGAGGAGGAGGAGGAGGACGAGAAGGAGGAGGTGCAGGCGACGGCTTGATCTCTCTGCGACCGCCCTGCCCATCGAAGCGCAGATTCGACGCCCGCGCTGCTTGCCAGGCCTTGCGCTCCTTCTCGTCCTCTTCGTCGTCGTCCTAGCCGTCCCGTTTCACCCTATCCCCCTCCTCCTCGTCCTTCTCGGCCCCTCGCCCTCGCATTCCCTTTTTCCCTACCAACAGTGAAAAAATACAACAACAAGGCTTCAACATAACAAGGACAACAACAAGGCTTCACTATAACAGCAACAAAACACAATGATGACAACATTTATAACTATGTGATGCGACCTGAGGCTTCAAGAACACGGATCAGACCTGCGAATTCACCTGTTGTTCTTCCTTTTTCCCCGAGAGCGAGATCTTGCTTGGTGAGCCTTGGCCCAGACCCGTGGCCATGTACGGGACACCCAGTGAGCGACGTCCTGAACCTGAGCAGAGCTGGTACGGAACACGCAACTAGAACGATCATGCATGCAATGGATCTCTCACTGCTGGTATCTACCATGCGCGCAGACACCACGCTCCAGATGCTGCCCGCGCTCACCTGCGGCGCAGGCCGCCTACTCCGAGGCATGCTGCACGACCAACTGAGATTGTCCCCCCCGGCGGGCGCGGACATCCCGTGCTGGAAAGACGGACGGGAGAGGCCAGAGAGCACGGAATATCTCCGGCCAGCGATGACCAAGCAGCTGCAGAACCGCATGCAGGCCGCATGCAGACCGCATTGTTGAGGTGAACGCTGTCCAAGACCGCGCGGCTCCTCTCCCGTGCCACCCCCCCGTTTCCCCTGTCCTCCAACCGTCCCCCTTTTTATCCCCGCTCCTGGTCCTTTCCTCCAGCTGCCTCGATGCTGCGCCGCCGCTGCGCCACTGCCCTTCTCCGCAAGGCTGCGGTCTTTGGGCTCTTCTTTCGCTTCGGGAGGGCTGTCCCGCGGCGGGGCTGCGGCCATGCGGGATGATGAGGATGACGATGCGGATGAGGATGAGAATGGTGATGATTATGTTGATGATGCTGATGCTGATGATGATGCTGATGATGTTGATGCTGCTGATGCTGATGCATATGGTGATTACGACGATAAGGATGATGATGATCATGGTTATGCCGAAGTTGATGCTGCTGCTAATGATGACAATGCATTCTGATTATAGTGATACTGCTGCTGCTGCTGCTGATGGTGATGATGATGATGATGATGATGATGATGATGATGATGATGATGATGATGATGATGATGATGATGATGCTGATGCTGATGCTGATTCTGATGCTGATGACGAAGCTGAACAAGAGGAGGAGGAGGAATAGGAGGAGGAGGAGGAGGAGGAGGAGGAAGAGGAGCAGGAGGAGGAGGAGACCCGAGACGGATCATGAGGCGGAGGAGGAGGAGGAGGAGGAGGAGGAGGAGGAGGAGCGGGAGGGGGAGGAGGGGGTGAGAGGTTGGCAGGAGTAGGGGGACGAGGGAGGAGATGAAGTAGGATGAGGACGGGCAGGAGGAGGAGGAGGAGGAGAAGTAAGAGGAACAGGAGGAAGGGGAGCAGGAGGAGGAGGATGAGGAAGAGGAATTGGGGAGAGGACGACGACGATGACGAGGACGACGAGGACAAGGATGATGATGATGCTGATGATGATGAGGAGGAGGAGGAGGATGAGGATGAGGAAGAGGAGGAGGGGGAGGAAATGAGAGAAATATAAGAAACTGAAGGAACATTCAGAAGGAGGATCCAAGGACAAGGAGGAGGAGGAGGACCAGTGTAAACCCAAGAGTCATCGACGATGTTGAAATTAACCCTCCCTCCAAGCTCCCTCTTAATTGTTCCCTGCAACGGTTAATGTCCACTGAGGGTTGGAAGGCAATCGTTTGCAGACCCTGAAGCATGCCATAACATTGTTCTCAGGGGTACAACGCCACGGAACAATTTGACTGTTCCGTCTTCACGGTCCTGAATCATGCCAGAACGGCGTTCCTGGGACCTCAACACCGCGAAGCAGCGTAAGTTCTGCATCCCCCAAGCTCTGAATCCTTCCAACCATTATTTCTGGTACGCTAATCACGGGACTCCGTGTAAATGATCTCTCTATATATACATACAAACGAATGTGCGCGGTGCTAAGGCAATAGCCACATTTTGAAAAGAAGCCGCCCTCAATCCGTGAAGGTCTCGCACATGTGTCAAACGAATGTGCGAGGCGTTAGCGCGAGAGCCACATTTTGAATAGGAGCCGCCCTCAATACATGAGAAGCTCGTTCAGATGTTAAAACGAATGTGCGCGGCGCTAAGGCGAGATCCACATATTGAAAACCACCCGCCCTCAATCTTTTAAGCGATTGCCACTGTCTGAGCTTCAGGGTCATAAGTGGTGAGGTAGTCTTAGGCGAAACACCCAGCCCGCCCTACCAATTGGCTTCGGGATGCGGCAGTGGGAGGTAATGTATAAGGACAAGGCATGGAGGAGGAAGAGGAGGAACAGCAGGAGGAGGAGAAGGAGCAGCAGCAGCAGTCGCAGCAGCAGCAGCAGCACCAGCAGCAGGCAGGAGGAGACAGGAGGAGGCAGGAGCGTGAGGCAGGAGGAGGCATGGGGAGGAGGAGGAGGAGGAGGAACAGGAGGAGGAGGAGGAGACTGAAGCAGACGGAGGCATGATAATGAAACAAGAGGAGAAAGAGGAGGCAGGACGGTGTAGGAGGAGAGGACACAAGGATGCTTTCAGGCAAGCTAAGCCGATTATCAGGTGTGGTCTTTACGTCGGCGTAAATTTCCTTCGCTTGCAGAGCAAAATGCCAGTTTATGAATCTTGGCTCAGACCCGTGGTTTTGTGCATGGCGCCCCCTGGGCGACGTCCTAGACCTGAGCAGCGCTCGTACGGAGTACGCAACCAGAACGATCCTCTATGCAATGGCGGTCTTGCTGCTGCCACCTAAGTTGCTGCCACAATCGTTACGCTCCAGGAGCTGCCCGCGTTCCCTCCCTCCCACCCTCTTCTCCTCCCCCTTCCTCCCCTCCCCTTTTTCCCTCCCCCCTCCCTCCCCTTCCCCTGCGTTCGCCCCCCCCCCCCCCGTCACGAGCACCGGAGGACGGTTCCATCCAGAAGATGGACTACGGCTTGCTCGTGTGGGTCGCCGGCGTGGGCATGCGGCCTTTCACCCGGTCCGCCGGGCGCGGGCCCCGTTCCATGGGTCGCGGGCTCGCCGCGGAGCGGCCCTCGTGTCGTCCCGCTCCTCCCCAGCCCTCGGCCTCAAGCCCTCCTCGGTTTCCTGGGTCTGGTCCTCCGCGGGCCGTCCTCGCACTCCGTGCTCGCTCCTCCCTGCTCCTCCTCGCCATGTCCGCCATCTCGTCGTCGAGGCTCGCATCTCTTCGCCCTCCTCCTCCGTCGGCGAGCGTCTCAGGGCCTCCTCCTGGGCCCAGCGGGGCCAATAGAGGCCGAAATCGAAGGAGTTGGTTTTCGACCCTCAGGTCGTCGAGGGGAAGATTCCCATGATTCTCCTCCTCGTCCATGTCGTCCGTCCTGAAGTTCCCCCTCCCTCCTCCTCATCCGTGTCCTCTTCCTTCTCCCCTCCTTGTCTCCTGCCCGACGGACATCGTGAACACGAAGGCGGCGGCATTCGCAAACATTTGGATGTGCGACGAGGTGGCCCACAGCACGCCGCCATATTGGCGGACTTGAGGAGGCAAGCAGCAGCAGAGGATGTGCCGCAGTGGTCCATGGAGGACCTCGACGGCGCGCTGCGAGGCGAGCCTGATAAGGGCCAGGGCGCCGACAAATTGAGGTACAGCGACGTCCTCCGCGTCGATTCGTTCAACGAGTTCGGGAGGCAACTGATGTGGCCTTAGCAGCTCCTGTGTTCGCTGGTGATGGTACCGCCCAAACCTTCCAAAGGGGACGGGGCACTGGCAATCCTGCCCCAGCTGGTGCGCTGCTGGGAGCTCCTGCGCATGCCCGAGTGGGACGCACCAGTGGCAAGCAACAGCTGACGCGAGGCCATGCGCAGGACTGACACCGACGAGCTCTGCAAAGCGCTGGGTACCTTGCGGTGGTTCACCTTGGCGGACATCAAAACGTTCTGAGACAGCCTGCGCATGGCCACGCTGATCTCCGAGGCGCTCAGGATGCACTTCAGCCCCCGACTCCTTCTGATGCTACTGGTTCCGCGTTCGAGGGCCACGCGCATGAGGTGGCAAGGCGCCTGCGCACACCCCCTGCTGGCAAACAGGTCCACGCTCGCGGGTTGGAGGCACTCGAGCCACACATCCAAGACGGTGGCCCACGCGGTCCTGAGCCACAGGATCGACGCGACGACCGCCCTGCCATTGCTGACGCCGAGAGCCTGGCTCGACGACGTCAACAGCAGGACCGCTGGCAGCGGGGAGGTGGTGCAAGACCAGCTCGTGAAGTCGACGGACAGCCTCGAGGAGGGCCTGCTGCAGCGCGGACTGCGCCTGGCGGACAAGGCGGTCACTTGCGCGTTTGGCGCTCCCGTGGCCAGGGCGGCGCAGTCTCCACTCCGTCGGGTGGGTGCGACGGTCAAAGCGGCCCCAGACGGCCGTGACCTCGGCGCCGACAGAGCAGCGAGAGGCGCAACGAGGCGCAGCGCGCACGTGAAGCGAACCCACGAGGCGAGCAAGCGGCCTGGCGCCGTCGGAGTGAAGTTGCGCAAGCTTGGGCTGACAGGCGAGGAGAGGGGGCGCGCGCCACGGGCCCGTCGCCTCGCTCATGCGCGGGGCGATCGTGCGCGGCCTGGCTCCGTCGGCCCCGACGATCGCGACGTGCGCCCAGGCGCTGAGGAGAGCGTGGCCAGGCAGGTGCCTCACTGCCCTACTGGTTCTGAAAGGGGGGCCGAAGCAGCCACCTCGACCGCCCGGGGCCAGCTGACGGCGCGGTTCGATGCGCGGGCCAACGGCCCAGCCCAGGTGAGGAGCGCGCGGCCAAGGATCTACGCTTCCGCCTCCAGAAGGCGGCCGCGCACAGGAGGCGGCAGCATCAGTGACAAGTCGGGGGCAGCGTCGACTTGCTGCTGGGAGAGTTGGGCTGGGACTCGCGACTCGCGAGACTCGCGAGGACCAGACACCTGGCTAGACAGTGCAGGACGCACCTGGAAGTTCACGTCCGACCGGGGGGATGGCGACCCAGCCGCCGTCATCGAGGCGCCGCCGACCGACCTGCAGGCCCAGCTGCGGGGCGCGGGCCGCCAGGCACCGTGGCAGAGGAGGCGTCGAGGGATGCGCCCGCGCGGCAGCGCTGACGAGGCACCCGGATACGTCGAGGAAGAAAAGGCATGCGCCGGGCCTGCGGCTGCATTTGCGCGGCGCCCTGCACGGGGGCATGGGCCAAAAGTGCAGAAGCGCGCGGAGTCGGAGGCGCCGGCGATCTGACTTCCACCGCACCTGGTGGGCCGGGGCGGCGCGCCAGGGCGGCGACGTTCTCGGCGAGGCAGCGGTGCTCGAGAGAGGCGAGCCGCGCGATGGGCAGAGGAGGGCCCGGCGCTCTGGCACCGAGGGCTGACGCCGAAGGCTCGGGCGGCGCCGCCGCCGTGCGATGCGCAGAGGCAGGGCTCGCTGGCGGGCGAAACCCGGGAAGGGGGCTGCGCGGCCAAGCTGGCGGACCCCTAGTCGTGGGCGGCGGCGGCTCGGGGGCGAGTGCGGCGGCGGCGACTGCTGCCGGTGCTGCGGCCGGGGCTGGGCAGTGCTCGACGCGCGGGGCCGCCCCCCGGACTTCGCCGCGCGCGCGGCGAATTCCGGGCCCCCGCGCCTGCCTGGGTCGAGGCAGTCGCGGAGCCGCGCGCGTGCGTGCGCTGCTTGGGGCCCGCGGGGGGCCCGCTGAGCTGCGGGGCGGGCGGGGCGATCGCCCGCGCCGCGGGCCGCGCGGGGGCCAGCGGCGACCTCGGGGCCAGAGCGAGAGGGGCACTCGAGAGCCGAGGAGGGATTGGCAGGGGGAGGTTAGCGCGCGCCACCGCGACGGCCGCGGGGAGGAGCACGAGGCGGCAGCAGAAGGTATCCCGATCGGGCGCCTGGGAAGACAGCCGCGCCGCCGACGGGTTGGCGGGCGCAGGGGCCAGCCGGCGCGCCGTCGCGGATAACCGGGTGGGCTGATGCGAGGGTCGCGGCGCGCGCGCAGGGCGCCGCCGGCCGACGCCCGACGCAGGGCAGAGACTTGAAGACGGCGAGGAGAGCCGCAGCGAGAGCCATGAGGGCGCAGAGGCACGGCCGCCCGCCGCGCGCGACCTGGCTGGGCCGAGGCGAGGCGAACGATGGAGGCGCCGCTGCTGCGACGAGATGGTCGCCGCGGCGACGGCGCCCGCGGCGATCATGGGGCGGTTCGAGAAACCTCGTGGCGGGCCGGAGCAGGACGTGGCATCAATTGCTTGGCTTCATCTGGGGGGCTGCGTCTGCCCCTGTCTATTGGGCCCTCATGCCTGGGCAATGGCAGGGGCGACTTTTGGGTGGTATTGCCAAAAGGTCCCAATCGCTTTTTGGGGCACGCAGCTGAAATCGCAATTTTGGTACGGCGTTGACGTGCACACGCATCTGTATTTTATGAAATTCATTTTAACATATGCGAACTGGCTAGGACACTTGTAGGCGAAAAGAGTCATGCCATCGCACAGTAAATTCACGCTTCCATCGTTCTTTTCTGCTTTGGAGGGGGCCGAATATAGATTTTGTTGTTTCAACATCCGTAGACGGTGCTTGGCAAGCTGAACGCGTTGTTGTTAGCGCAGGGCTGGCAATAAACATCAGTCGGTTGACGCGTCCCTGGTGGCAGACAGCCAGAGGTTCGGTTTGCTGTGTCGGGTCCGACCGCGTCTTCAATGTACATGGCGCAAGCGCTTGCTTGTCAAGATGATTTCGATGGCGTTGTGTGGCTGGCCTTGTTTTCGTTTGTTTTGCTCCCGAGTTTGATCGCGTTGTGCGGTGCCCTCAGTTGCTTTGGTTCAGGGCCCTCACCAACAGAGAGAAAACGGCACCCGTCAAGTCACGGGCGAAAATCAGTATCTTCTTCGGGGCTTTGGAGGCACGTTTGGGGTCATCTTGAATGACATCGATCAGCCAGAGGGTCATTCGCCTGCCCCCAAACCCCCTCGAGCCCCGCACGCCATCCGGGCCCTCTTGGGGCGCTCTTGGGGCGCTCCCGGGCGCTTGGGGGGGCCGTCTAGGAGATATCCGGGGTCCTGGGGACACCTGGGGCTTTCTTGGTCCATCTTGGAGCCATCGTGAAGCCTCGGAAGGCTGTTGCCAGCGAAAGAGGGGGGAGGGGGGGGAAATGCATACGTTTTTGATGTCTTTACTTTGTCTGGGAACTTGGCCGCGTTGGATCCTGAATTTTGGAAATGAGGACGCGGCCATGGTGGATTGGAAACTAGATTAGACCTTTAGCGGTCGCCACGCGGCTTTCGGGCGTGACGCGCGTCGCCCGCGCGCGCATCAGCGCTCCTGCGTGGCAGGCTCGTGCAAAGTGGAAGCGCAGACGTCGCCACCTTTGCGCGGGAACTCAAATCTTACATTCTCGCGCCCAAAGTCTGCCCGTCTTTGAGAATTTAGCATGACGTTTTTGCGCCCCCCTTTGTATGCACCGAGCGCGCAGGACGTGGGCGGTGCGCGCGCGGCGGTGTCTTCACTGGGTGGGAACGCATAAGTCGCCACGCTGTCATAATAACTAGCGTTTTGCATTGGCGCGCAAGAAAGCAATGGATGATATTCGCACGTGCACTGGCTCGCACGGCCATCCTGTACATAGCCGTACAGACTCATCGAGCCATATTGCTTTGAAAGCTGAATGGTTCCATGTAGTGACTGCCATCCGTTCCCGATGCCAACTTAAGCGCGGTTTCCACATGTGCACGAGGTGCCCAGTGCACAGCGGGCGCGCGCGGCGGCGCGTGCATGACGAGGTCTGCCTCGTAGGAATGAAGAAGTTCGGTTGTCTGGTAACCGAAGTACGCCTTCAACGAGCGCGGCCCCGACTCGCAACTTTAAGTGTGTGTGTTTTCACAGTTTCGCCAAGAGAAGCACGGTGCAACGCGCATGGCGGCGTTTCCATGGCAAGCTCTGCGTTGTCGGCGCGGTCAAGTTGCCAACTTGGTTTGGAAGCACAGCCGGCGCCCAGGTTTGCGATCCTGGTTGTCAGCTGGGCGCGAGGCTTTTTCAATCCG